TCGGGAAGTCCGCGCGGAGTTCTCGGGCCGGCGCTGGGCCCCCTGGGCCCCTCCTCCCTGGATCGCGGAGCGCGCCGGGGGCGGCGTCGCCACCAAGGGGGGTCGAGACCCAAGCAGTCCGCGCGGACCTCTGAGGGTTTATGCTCATGCCGTTCTCTGCTCTTCGACCACGGGTCGCCCCACGTCGCGAGCTGCGCCGCGCGAGGCGCGAGGCGCGGCGAGAGCCATCTTCGAGCTCCGCGCGCGGCCCCTCGGGCCGCGAAGCGTGGAGCGGGACCTCGTCCCTCGCGCCCCCACTTCTGGGGACCCAGAAGTTCACTCACCACCACAATCATCGTCATCATCGTCATTCTAATCATCATAAGCATCGTCATCATCATCGTCATCATCATCATCACCATCATCATCGCCACCACCATCATCATACATAGCATCATCAGTATTACGTTTCTTCCCTGTATTCCTACTGTGAAAACTAGCATTCGTATTGTCATGGCTTTCCTAATTATGGTTAAGTGTCTTAGCATTATCATCATCATCATCATCATCATCATCATCATCATCATCATCATCATCACCATCACCACCACCACCATCATCATCATCATCATCATCATCATCATCATCATCATCATCATCATCATCATCATCATCGTCGGCATCGGCATCGGCATCGGCATCGTCATCACCACCACCATCACAATCATCATCACCATCAACACCAACATCGACATTTACAATATCGACACCCCTCCTGGACAACGCCACCTCCGCCCGGGCCTCGAGCCGGGCGTGGGCCTGCACAGGCCCGAGCCAGGGCCGAGAGAGCGGCCGCCTGGCGAGTCAGCAGGGAAATGCCCTGAGATCCGACGTCGCGAAAAAATACAACATTCGCGGACCATCACGACCAGAGCCCTAGGCCCAATCTTTGATGGCCCGGGGCCCGAAACTAGGCGAAGATGCTCGACGTGAGAAAAATCCGCCGACCCCTTGGGGTTCATCGGCGTGTGAAATGTTCCCCTCCCCAAACCCCTCCCCCGGCGGGGGCCCCGAAGTCGCTGGAAAAAGTTCGCAGCGAACTTTGCTCGACTGACAATGGGGCCCCATTGTCAAACGGGCCATCGGCGACGGGTGGGATTCCAGCACCCCCGATTGGCCATTTGACAGTGGGGCCCCACTGTCAAACGGACAATCGGCGACGGGTGGGACCCCAGCGCCCCCGGCTGGCCATTTGACAATGGGGCCCCATTGTGAAACGGACAATCGGCGACGGGTGGGCGCCCAGCGCCCCCGATCAGCAAGTCGACAATGGGGCCCCACTGTCAAATCGGCGATCGGCGACGAATGGGGCGCCCGCGCCCCCGATTCGGACATCGGCGACGGGTGGGATTCCAGCGCCCCCGATTGGCCATTTGACAATGGGGCCCCACTGTCAAATGGACAATCGGCGATGGGTGGGGCCCCAGCGCCCCTGGCTGGCCATTTGACGATGGGGCTCATTGTCAAACGGACAATCGGAGACGGGTGGGCGCCCAGCGCCCCCGATCAGCAATTTGACAATGGGGCCCCACTGTCAAATCGGCGATCGGCGACGAATGGGGCGCCCGCGCCCCCGATTCGGACATCGGCGACGGGTGGGATTCCAGCGCCCCCGATTGGCCATTTGACAATGGGGCCCCAGCACCCCCGGCTGGCCATTTGACAATGGGGCCCCATTGTCAGACGGACAGTCGGAAACGGGTGGGCGCCCAGCGCCCCCGATCAGCAATTTGACAATGGGGCCCCGCTGTCAAGTCGGCGATCGGCGACGAATGGGGCGCCCGCGCCCCCGATTCGGACATCGGCGACGAGTGGGATTCCCGCGCCCCCGATTGGCCATTCGACAGTGGGGCCCCGCTGTCAAGGACAATCGGCGACGGGTGAGACCCCAGCACCTCCGGCTGGCCATTTGACAATGGGGCCCCATTGTCAAACGGACAATCGGCGACGGGTGGGCGCCCAGCGCCCCCGATCGGCAATGTGGCAATGGGGCCCCACTGTCAAATCGGCGATCGGCGACGAATGGGGCGCCCGCGCCCCCGATTCGGACATCGGCGACGGGTGGGGTTCCAGCGCCCCCGTTTGGCAATTTGACATGGGAGCCCCACTGTCAAATGGGCAATCGGCGACGGGTGGGGCCCCATCACCCCCGGCTGGCCATTCGACAATGGGGCCCCATTGTGAAACGGACAATCGGCGACGGGTGGGCGCCCAGCGCCCCCGATCAGCAATTCGACAATGGGGCCCCGCTGTCAAATCGGCGATCGGCGACGAATGGGGCGCCCGCGCCCCCGATTCGGACATCGGCGACGAGTGGGATTCCAGCGCCCCCGATTGGCCATTTGACAGTGGGGCCCCACTGTCAAATGGGCAATCGGCGACGGGTGGGGCCCCAGCACCTCCGGCTGGCCATTTGACAATTGGGCCCCATTGTCAAACGGACGATCGGCGACGGGTGGGCGCCCAGCGCCCCCGATCAGCAATTTGACAATGGGGCCCCACTGTCAAATCGGCGATCCGCGACGAATGGGGCGCCCGCGCCCCCGATTCGGACAGAGGGCGACGGAGCCGCCAGCTCGAACAGAGGCCGTCCTCCTTGTGTCGTCCTTCCTTCTTCCCTCCTTGCTGGCCCTTCTCCTCACTTTCTTTTCCCATCCTTCCTTTCTTTCCTCATTGATGCGTTCCCCAACCCCTTTTCAACCGAGATGCCCGTCTCCGCCGCCGGGAACGAGCCGATCTCCTGGGTGATCTGGGTCGTCATGGCCTCGAACCCTCCAGGCGGCGCAGCCAGTGTTGTCTCCGAGGCGATGGCTGCACCGATGGTGCCCTGTGGCAAGGCGCTCTCTTTTCTCGTATCGGCTGTCGCTGCGGGGCCACTGACCGAGGTTGGGGTGTCTGCTGTGACTCCGGGCGCGGCTGTGGCGTCGTTGTTTGTGGCTGCGCCGCGCGAGTGCCCCCATCCGCTGCAGACGACGTCCACGGGCACCAGGTCTCATCATCATCATCGGCAGCAGCAGCGTGCGGCGGGAACACTTGCACATCGGCAACAGCTGCCGAAGCCGACGCCGACGCGCCGTCCAGCGCCGCCTCCTCACCCATGCGTCGCCACTCCCGCGGGGGCCGAACGAAAAGCGCTCCTCATGGGCTGCGCAGTGGAGCCACAACGGTTTCGGCATTGGGGAGTTCTGAAGGAGGACCTGCGTCGAGCATGGCATCGTGACACCTCAGCGCTCGTCGTGCAGAAGACAAGGAATTCGCACGTGTTTTTTTTTTTTTTTTTTTTTTTTTTTTTTTTTTTTTTTTTTTTTTTTTTTTTTTTTTTTTTTTTTTTAAAAAAAAAAAAAAAAAAAAAAAAAGGCGTCGCAGAGTCCACCGCCGATCGCTGAGACCTCCGCGCGCTGCGAGATCCTTCTCGCGCCCTCCCCCCCCAGGGCCCATGGGAGATCGCTCTCCAACACAGACCGCGAGGCGCGATTATCCTGGCGCAGCCTTGGAGTGGACTGCGGGGGCGACCCTGCCATCGGTATTTAAAGCCACAGCAACACTGGAACCATCCTGCAAGAATCACATGGTTTTCCTGATGCGCGGGGAAGGGGGCCTCGTTGCCAAAGGAGCAGCCGCCGCGCGAAAAGTGCCCTTCCTCGCGCCCTTGGAACAGCCGCATGCACAACACATTGCCAACCCAGAACGCAAGACACGATTCTCTTGGAGCAACTTTGGATATATTGCGGAAAAGCCGCTGGCATCGACACTGAATGTCACAGCGACACCCGAGCGTCCCAACGAAACTCGCATGAACGGTCTTGTCGGAGGAAGCCCTGGCTCCCAAAGGATCTTGCGCCGAACGAGCGTGACCATCCTCGAGCCTCTATCACGACCGCATAAAGAATGCACACTCACCACCAGACCGCAAAAAGCGATTATACTCACACGACAAGTGGGCTTGGACTTTTTTTGATCTGGTCTCGATCTGTCGAAAGCCTCCAACGCGCCTCCGAGGATGACACCCTCCAAGAGGCACCCCCGTTGGTCCGGAGGACAAAAAACCGGCTTCAAAACCTCCACCCTGCGCGGTGGGACGTCCGCGCGCTGCGAGATCCTCCTCGCAGGGCTTTTGTCGGAGTCCTCCTGCTATGTTGTGGCTAAAAAGAAACATAATCTGCATCACTAATCGCTCCTCTTTACTTGACCACCTCATGCCTCCTCCTTTCCCCATACTTGCGTCGCAGCAGCTCAACTCGCCGTTGTTGATTCCGTGCGCGCGTGAGCCTCGCCGCCATGCGTCGGCGACGTCCGATCCGTGCCTGTGCTTCAAATGCGTTGCACAGTATCTTCGGAAAAGAACCCCGCGAGCTGCGTTGCGGGGGGAAGCCCCTGTATCATCTGGCTTATATCTGTACATGCCCAACGCACGTAAAAACTAATTGAGATCTGCTCGTGACCGCTGTCGCTGGCGCCTCATCATCATCCGCTGTCGCTGGCGCCGAGTGAACACACCACGAGCCAATTCTTGAACCCAAAGACGCGCTGTCGAATGGCACCGCGCAGTGCCATCTCTGTACACGCATGCCTGCGCGTGCTATGTACGCGTGTGTGTACAATATAAGATTGCAGGTTCTATATGTATATACGCATATGCTCATGTATATATATATATATATACACATATACACATATATACGATCCTTAGTACATACAAGCGTACAAAGCTGCTGAGGGTGGACCTGATGCGAGGCCGGAGCAACCGGCGGCAATTTGGCGCGGCGACATGGGGGGGCAGCGCACAAGAAAAAGCCACGCGCGAGATAGCGAGAGCCAGATTGTGAATGCTGCACGGACCCCCCCCCGCCCAAGGCCTTCCCAGATATCCCAAGGGGTCGGCGGTGTGGCGTAAGCCCATGAATAACATCGCCCAGACCTCAGGGGTGGGAGGGAGTTCGAGCGGCGGCGGCGATGCGGACCCACTCGCGCTCGAACTCCGCCCAGGGGCGGAGGCACACCCGCAGGCCCTCCAGCTTCCTCAGCAACAGCCTCCGGGCCACCGTCCTGCTGGTGTCCTCCGCCTCGTCCTCGGCCCGGAGGCCTGGCAGCAGCAGCGGCGGCCACCGGTCGACAAAGGATCTGGGAAGAAAATCTGCCCCAGGGGGAAGGTCGGGACCTCGGGGGCCGCGGATGGGAACGAAAACACATCGTCGGATGTCTGGGTACGGGGGCCGAGAACGCCTTCTGCGCTGACAACAGCCGCCATCACGGCTGGGTGACCACCCTACCTTGCCTCTCGGGAAGTCTGCTCGACCCTCGGTTCGTGCTCCCGCTCCCGCTCCTGAACCTCCTCATCTTCTCCCGCTGGTGCAGTAGGGGTCCGACCACAAGAAACCAACCACAAGAAACCAACCCTGAGACCCTCGGACGTCCATCGATTCGTGGTGTGGGAACGTCACGCTTTCCATCGCAAACCATCGAAACCCAAGAAGCCCAGGGCACCCTGGACGCAAGCAGGGTGTTTCTTGGCATGGGCCTCCACTGTACTCGTCCTCGTCCACTTACTCCTCCGTCCTCTCCTCCTCTAGTGACGCAGGCCCTGTTCCGCCGAGGCCCTGGTCCGCCGAGGACCGATCCCGCTGACGCCCAGCCCGTCGAGGCTCGGTTCTGCCGCGGAGGTCCCCGAGAGAGCTCCCGCTTGAGAGGGGCTGACCGCGGAAGCGGTCTCGGCGGAAGAGGGCCGGGCGGAACACGGCTGGGCGGAACTATTCCTCGGCGGAGCAGGGCCGGGCGGTGCTTACAGGGCCGCGGGGAACAGGGCCAGGGGCGGGTGGAACGGGGCCGCGGACGCACACGCGTCAGCATCGTAACCATCCTTGTCGCCATCATCACCAGCAGCAGCACACGTACCATCATCGCCATCTCCTTCCTGCTCATCACCGTCGTAATTATTTATCTTCCTCCTTTTCCTGACCATCACCATTACCACCACCATCATCATCCACATCCTCATCCTCATCCTCATCTTCATCCTCCTCCTCATCATACTCATCATCATCCTCCTCATCATCATCCTCCCCTTCTTCAAATCCCCTTCTTCATCCTCATGAGCGCTGCCATCGTCATCATCAACCTCGTCATTTTCATAACCACCCACCATCATCATGATCACTCCGCTCTCCCTCCTCGTCGTCCTCCTCCTCTCTGGACCTTCCCCCTTCTTCTCCTGCTCGTCGTCGCCTTCCTCATCGTCACGGGAAGATCGGAATTTGAGAATCATCCTCCTCGTCGTCGTCGTTGCCGTTGTCATCGCCATCGTCATCGTCATCACCATCATCATCACCATCACCACCACCACCACCATCATCATCATCACCAGTATCATCCTCCTCCTTCTCATCATCATCAGCATCATCATCTTCCTCCTCATGATCATCATCACAGTCATCACCATCACCATCGCCATCACAACCATCATCACCACCATCATCACCACCACCACCATCATCATCACGACCACTACCACAACCACGAACATCATCATCACCATCACCATCATCCCACCTCCACATCATCATCACCATCACCATCAACATCACCATCACCATCACCATCACCATCACCATCACCATCACCACCACCATCACCATCACCACCACCACCACCACCATCATCATCATCATCATCACCATCACCATCATCATCATCATCATCATCATCATCATCATCATCATCGGTTTCATCATCATCAGCAGCATCATCATCACCAACATCATCACCACTACCACCACCACCATGATCATCATCATCATCAGCAGCAGCAGCAGCAGCAGCATCGTTCGTCATCGTCATCATCATCGTCGTTGTCATCACAATCATCATACCGTCCTCTTCCTCGTCCTATCCCCCATACCCCTCTACTCCACCTCCAATCCTCCGCTTCTCGTCCTTCTCAACGGGAACGGGTCATGCCCGGCGGGTGAACCCTGCAAGGCGGGTGGGTGGGGCGGGCGGACCGCGACGGGATGACCCTGGCGGGCGGGCGGGACATCAAGACCGGCGGGCGGGCTCGCAAGAGCACGGGCCAGCGAACCCCGACGGGCGGATCAGGCGGGCGGGGCCGGCCCGGAAGGCGGCCCGGGCGGGCTGGACGGAGTCCACCGCGCGGGCGTGCTCGGCGAGAGGGCGAATCCGAACGGGCGGGCCGGGCGGGAGTGGGCCCTGACGGGCGGGTCGGGCGAGCGAGGCGGGAGGGCGGACTCCGTCAGGCGGGTGGGGGCGGATGCCTGGACCCCAACAACAGGCGGGTCGGGGGGGCCTGATCGGGCGGGTCATCGAAGGGGAGGGCTGGCAAGAGAGCGGGCGGGCGCAGCCTGACGGGCGGGTCGGTCGGGCGGGCTCTCAGGCGAGCGGGCTGACTTTCGGACGAGCAGGACAACTACGACGACAACGGCGACGACGAGAACGGCGGCGACGACGACGAGGGCACCGACGACGACGACGACCACGACGGCGAAAACGAGGACAACGATGACAACATCGACAGTGGCAACGAAACGATGACGACCAAGACAAGGGCTAGCGCGACTACGAGGACTACGACGACGGCCAATGACAGTGGAGAGAGGGAACGTCGATGACGACGACCATGAGGACGACGGGCGTGTGCTTCAACGCCGCTGCCTCCGACAACGACTGCGACGGTTGACGACGACGGTTGACGACGACGACGACGACGACGACGACTGCAACGAGACCGACCACGACGACGACGGTAACGACAAGGACGACGATCACGATATCGACCGAAACCACAGCCGCGACGACGATGACTACGACCACGACGACGAAAGACAGGCGGAAACGGGGCGGCGAAAGCGAGGCGGCGGAAGCGGGCTGGCGGAGACGGGCCATGCGGAGCAGGGGCAGGACTTTCTTGGTACTGCTTTGGGCAGATTCGGGTAGGGCTCACGTGTGGCTCCCTCGCGGAGGAGGGGCGCAGGAGGAGGAGGAGATAAAGAGAGAGAGATAGGATCGAGGGTTGGGCAAGGGTTTGTGGATCGAGAATCGAGCCTTTTTGGAAGAGGAGCTGGGGCAGAATTCTTTCTAGTGCTTCTAGTGTTTTGGGCCCGTTTGGGCCTCCTCTGGGGATCGGGGCTCGAGGCGACGGACGGAAGTTCAAGGCTCGAGGCTTGGATCTTGTTGACCTGTTCTGTGCCCCTGTTGGGGAGCCGGGGCACTCTTATCCTTGCCGGCGTCGTCGTCGTCGCCGTTCTCCCTCTCCTCCTCCTCCTCATATCCCCTTCCTCGGGGAAGAACGGCTCTCTGGCCTGGACCGCCTCCTGCTCCACCGCCCCCCTCACAGCGCGAAGGGGGAGGACAAGTCGCATGAACCAGATCGGCGTGGAGTGTGGGAGTCGCTCGGAGCTTTTCCTACAGTCTGGGGGCTGTCTCGGGGCTCCCTTTTGGATCGTCTCGGGGGGATCGTGAGAACTTCTGGGGCTTCTGGGGGCGACTCGGCTGCCGGGGGGTTCTGGGGACGTCTTGGGCAACCCTGGCGCACCTTCGGGCTCTGTGTGGGCCCTCGTGGGCCGTCTTGGCGCTCTCTGTTGCCGTCTTGAGCCCCTCCTGGGCCTCTCTGGAGGCTCCCTTGGGCTACTTACGAAGCGCTCTCGACGCCACGTGGGCGACGAAAACGAAGGGGCCTTACACGAGAAGGCATGGCGACCTTACGCGATGGCTTACACGGGCCGCCAGCGCGGCACGCTAACGAGGTCGTTTACGTGCGGCCTTGCGCAGCTTGCGCGCCAATGTGGGTGCAAACGACCTCGTTCTTCTGCGCCGCCCAGTGGTGGAGAACAACGTGAGATTCCCAAACATTGAGCAGTCGATTGATTTCGGCTGATTGTGCCTTCATGGGGCGCGTCTGGTGGTCTCAGGGAGCTCTTGCAGTGTGTCGTTCTGCGCTTCGTGGCGCCTCTGGGGATGTATGGAATCAGCTTGTGGGCATCTTGGGCCGTCTTGGCGCCCGCTCGGCGTTATCCTGACCACCATGGACTCTTCTTGAGACCGAGAAAACCCTCCTAAGGCCCTCAAGGGCGCTCCCGGCCCCCTGGGACACACTTGTGACCCGGAGGTGTATGGAAAGGTTGTGTGCTCCTGGGCTGGCGGACCCAGACGCCCCTTCTCCCCTCCTCTTTCTCCTCTCCCTTCCTCCCTCCCTCCCTCCCTCCCTCCCTCCCTCCTCCTCCTCCTCCTCCTCCTCCTCCTCCTCCTCCTCCTCCTCCTCCTCCTCCTCTTTCTTCTCCTCCCTCCCTCTCGTACGCCTCCCTCCCCTCCCGCGGCCTCGGCACTCTTCCGTCTTTGGGGCGAGTGGCTCCCTGGGGCTCGGCGTGTGAGGCAGGTCCGCGTCCGCCGAGAGAAGCCAGCGCTCGAGCCTGCCAAAGGGCGGGCCTCGAGCAGTCGTCGGGCCCAGGCGGGGCAAGCGCAGCCCGAGGGAGGAGGGCGGGGGGCGAGGGAGGAGGGCGACGGGCGCGGGGCAAGAGCTGAGGCAGGGGTGGCCCAGGAGGGAGGGGAACTTGGAAGTTGGAGTTTGGGTGTCCGCGAAACGATCCCATGACGGGATCAGTGCCGGGGGCGTGCAAGGCGCGAAGCCGCTTGCAGGCCTCAGGAGGGAGGGGAGGGAGAGGAAAGCGGGGCGGGAGCGGCTGTGGAGGTCGTGCTGGTGATCGCTCCCTCCATCCCTCCCTCCCTCCTCCGCTGAGCTCTCCCTTCCGTCCTCCCTGCCTCCCTCCCTTCCACCCTTCCTCCCTCCCTCCTCCGCGGAGCTCACCCTTGGCGCCCAGGAGCCCCGAACGGCGCGATGGGGAGGGGAGGGGCAGTCTGCCGAGCAGGCCAGGGGGGGGGGCTTCTCCGAAGGGCGTCTTGAGTTTCCGGAGAGGGCTCTCGGAAGGCGGGGCAGGGCTCTCGGGAGGGCACCTTCTCCTGCTCCTCCTGCTCCTTCTGCTCCTCCTCCTCCTCCTCCTCCTCTTCCTCCTCCTGCTCCTGCTCCTGCTCCTCCTCCTCCTCCTCCTCCTCCTCCTCCTCCTCCTCCTCCTCCTCCTCCTCATGCCGATGGCTACCGCAACCCTTGGGGCGGAGGTTGTGCAGGACGCATGGGGCGCCGGAAAGGGTGTGCGATCCGCGCGCACCTGACGAGCACCTGCACAACCGTCACAAGAGTCAGGGAGCCTGGGCGACACCGGCAAAGTCGATCGAGGCATTCGCCTCCAGGACACAGTCTGGCGGCAAGGCCAGCGGTCCTGAGTGCTTGTCGCCCCGTAGCGCCTGCGTCACCGTAGGACACAGTCTTGCGGCAGTGCCAGCGGTCCCGAGTGTATGTTGTTCTCAGCGCCTCGAGTTACTTCACACGCGGGCGCAAGAGGTATATGCCTCCAGGACACAGTCTGGCGGCAAGGTCAGCGGTCCTGTAATCGATGAGGCATTTGCCTCCAGGGCACAGTCTGGCGGCAAGGCCAGCGGTCCTGAGAGTATGTCGTTCCGCGCCGCCTGCATCCCCACACGCCTGCAAAAGATGCAGACACCTCCAGGACACAGTCTGGCGGCGAGGCCAGCCACTTACGAACCCGTGCGTTCCGTGCGCCTTCATGGCCTTAACCCCCCTCATGGCCATGCCCCAACACTCCCATGAGATCCTGCATATCCAGTACTGGGTTCATCATGGCACGGCCTCAATGTACACCACACGCCTGCAGAAGAGGTATATACCTCCAAGACACAGTCTGGCGGCGAGGCCAGCGGTCCTGTAGTCGATCGAAGCATCCGCCTCCAGGACACAGTCTGGCGGCAAGGCCAGCGGTCCTGAGTGCTTGTCGCCCCGTAGCGCCTGCGTCACCATGGCACGGCCTCGCTGTATCCCCACACGCCTTCGAAAGAGGTGGATACCTCCAGGACGCAGTCTGGCGGCAAGGCCCGCGGTCCTGTAGTCGATCGAGGCATCCGCCTCCAGGACACAGTCTGGTGGCAAGGCCAGCGGTCCTGAGTGCATGTCGCCATGTAGCGCCTGCGCCACCGTGGCGCGGCCTCGCTGTATTCCACACGCCTGCGAAAGAGGTAGATACCTCCAGGACACAGTATGGCGGCGAGGCCAGCGGTCCTGTAGTCGATCGAGGCATCCGCCTCCGGGACACAGTCTGGCGGCAAGGCCAGCGGTCCTGAGTGCATGTCGCCACGTAGCGCCTGCGCCACCATGGCACGCCTTCGCTCAGTCTGGCGGCAAGGCAAGCGGTCTTGTAGTCGAAAGAGGCATTCGCCTCCAGGACACAGTCTGGTGGCAAGGCCAGCGGTCCTGAATGCATGACGGTCCGTACCGCATGTGTCCCCATGGCGCGGCCGGGCTGCACCACGCTGCACCCCGCACGCCAGCAAACGAGGCAGGCACCTCCAGGACACAGTCTGGCGCCAAGGCCAACCATCCACGAGCCCGCTCGCTACGTGCCCCTTTTCGCTCGCATGGTGCCGTGGGCCACCGCCCCTTACTGCGCCCAGTCGCTCTCACGTTAAAAGTGCTTGCCACTCCCATCGTTCCGGCACCTGCAAAGTCCTTCTTTCGATCTGCCTATTCCGTGCGCCAGGTTAGCATGCGTAGATCCGCTCGCCATTCGCCGCGGACTTCGCAAGCTACGCCGCCCCGCCCCCCCCCCGTGCGTCCGCCGCCCTCGCGCCTTCCACCGCCCCGCTCCCATGGCATGCGCTTGCTCTTTGTCACCTCTGCGGTGGTCTCATCCCTGCCTTCCTCCTCGGGTTGCCTCCTCAGCCGCCTCTGACTCCTGGTGCTGAGACGGTGCTCCTCCTCTGCCTCCTCTTGCTGCCTGAGCGGCAGCTGGCGCGAGCCGCCCGTCACTCCAGGGGTGGCTATCTCCCCCTGCTCCACCCCCTTTGCAGGGCCCCCCCCTTGAAATTCGGGGGCGCCTCCTCGGGGCGTGCGGACCCCCTGGAATTCTGGGGCTGCCTCCTCCTGCAGTCTGGGCAGCCGCCGGCGCGAGCCGCCTGTCACCTCTGCGGTGGTGGTCTCCTCCTCTGACTCCTCCTGCTCTGCCTCCTGAGGGCGCCAAACCTGCGGCTGTCGGTGGCGGACTGGAGTCGGCGCTGCGCTGTCGGTCGAATGCCGTGCCCTTGGCGCTCGCGCAACCAAGCAGAGTCCGCGAGTGCTTTGAGAACGGTCAATTTTTGCACAAATCGTGCCCCCCTGGGCAGCCGGCAAGATGCGATGCACTGTTTGGCACCACTGCCCTGTAAGACACAATTTTGCGGGATGGGGTCAACATTTGCTGCCCCACAAAACGTCTGCAACACAAATGTGGCTGTTTTTTTCGGCGCTTCGTTTTTTTCAGCACTGGCGAAAGAAGGTTGCATGTGGGACGGAATTTCCGCGACACTTACGGCGCACACACGTTGATGCATTATGTCGGCACCAATGGGCCGACAAATCGCGCCCCCCTGGCAACCGCCAAAGTACGATGCACTGTTTGGCACCACTTCCCTGTAAGACACAATCACCCCTTGGCCCGTCTCTCCCTCTCGGCGTCATTCTATTGTAATTACCCCATCCCTTCCCCTCCTCCCCCACCGAGCGCCTTGTCACGCCTGGATGCCGCCACGCACGCCCGTGTATCTCGCACGCGGGAGTGTGTCCAGGTAGGTGGACATAAAGGCCGCCACACATCGTGCACACCCCCACTCCCACTCCCAACCCCACTCCCACCACTGAGGCGATCTTTGCATCACGGTCCAGCCGCCCCACACCAACCTGTCCGCAAGCTCCCCCCCCCCACACACACACACAAGATCCTCCTCCACCCTGCATCTTCGGACCCTCAGTGGTTGGGTGCGCCCCCGCACTGCCGAAGGGCTGTGGTAGTGTAAGGATGGTGCCAACGAGCTCACGCGGCCTTGGCAGGTACCAAGATGCATTTCCGCACTGGAGCCGCAATGCCTTGGCCACGGTTCCTGGGCCATCACGATTCGTTGGCACAACCCATGCGGTATGGACCCAGATGGCCCCAGGCAATGCCCTAAATCGGGCCATCGTGCCCTTCAGGGTGGTGCTCCAGGAAGCTGGACCCACCAAGGGGGTTCAGGCGCCCCTAAGCCATTAACGTCAAGCTCCTCCTCCTCCTCCTCCTCCTCCTCCTCCTCCTTCTCTTCGATGGCAGGAGACCTTCTATGAGGCCTCATGCCTTCTGGTGCCTTTTCGGAAGAGCTTCCCTTCGTGGACAGCGGCCTCTTCCGAGCCTCCTGCCGGGGCCCCCCCAAACCAGGGTACTGCTGACCAAGACTTTGTACATTCCGCCGGGTGAACTTTTTCTGATTCGGCGTTTCGACATTCAGCCGGAGGAGGGGGGGAGGGGGGGGTCTGGCCCCGGACATCGGCTTAACGCGACTGTTTGCAACACTGCGTCCTATGGGGGAGACTCCACCTGCTTGAGACAACCGCCAACAAACAACAGCCAAGATCTACTCCATGGGGGGGGGGATACGAGGCCCCGCGCCGATCGGCAAAACAATACATAAGAAAACGACCACCCGGCGATAATTAACGAAGAATGGAAATTGTTTCGACCAGCGGCTGCAGTTTTCACGGGCGCGCCATATTCCTGGTTTATCGCGAGGTCACCACTTAGAGCGCCCTGACCCTGGCCTTGTCAGAGGGTGGCCAGACTCCTCCTCTCGGGTGCGCCAGAGAGGGGGGGGCCAGACGAGCGGGGTCAGCGCATCATGGCCCGAGGCACGTGCGCGGACTGGTAGACGGGCCACTGAGCATCTTGAAATGAAGGCTATTTGAAACAAAGTTTGCTAAGTGTAGAACGCGGAGGGGGGTACGACATCTGAGAGATCCCACGGCTCCAGCCGTGGTGTTTTCGACGCTCCCAGCCCTCTCCAGACATGCGATGTCCTGCTTTTTTCAATGCGGAGTCCCTGGAAGTCCAGGCCCTTTCCCCGTGGTCAATTGTTCCTTCTAAGTCGTTTTCTGACGGCCCCGGGGCCAGGCGTGGGCGCACCCAGGGGCCGACAACGACCAAACACGTCCCGTCGGGAGTTTTCCACGACGCGAGTATGTCTGGGGCCGTTTTCGGTTCGGTACCGTTCTGTACTTCCGTTGTTTATGTTTTGGGCTGAATGTTTTTGTCCGCTCTGTTTGCCAGAGAACCGAAACACTGAACACGAACAGAAAACGAGGCCCCCCAGCGCTTTCAACACAATCTAAGGTCGGCCCCCTTGGGCGTCAATCAATGGGGAGGGGTGTGTGGGAGAGGAGGAGGGGGAGGAGGAGGAGGAGGAAGAAGAAGAGGATGATGATGATGATGATGATGATGATGATGGTGATGATGAGGAGGAGGAGGAGGAGGAGGAGGAGGAGGAGGAGGAGGAGGAGGAGGAGGAGGAGGAGGAGGAGGAGGAGGAGGAGGAGGAGGAGGAGGAGGAGAGTTGTGCACCTCTCGTGCCCCCGTTTGGGCCCATGGGGGCCCCTTTAGGGCACAAGAGGTGCACCCCCCCTCAATTATCCCCCCCATTTACAGTAGGAGCTCGACCACAAGAAACCTTCAACAAGAAACCCAACCCGGAGGCCCCAGGACGTCCCCTGATTTTTGGTGTGGGGACGCCGCGCAGACCCGAGAAACCCAGGGCCTCCCTGGAGGCAAGCAGGGCGTTTCTTGGCGCGGGTCTCCACATCTCTCGCGCCTCCCGTTGCTCGACGCCCGATCCCACCTCCCTCGACGCCCTCGCCGGGCCTGCGAGCGGCATGGACGCGAGCGCCCTGGCCTCGGCGGCGATCTGGACCTCCGCGGCCCGCCCCCCCCCCCCCCCCGACTTCACGCGCGAGCGGCCCCGGGGAAAGAGTGACCTCTGGTGCGCGGCTTTCTGGGGGCCCCGGGGGGGGCCGAGAGCGAGCGCCGAGAGCGAGCGAGCGCCCCCTCCGCCCGGGAGCGGGCGCCTCGGGAGAGCTCCCGAGGGCCCCCCCCCCTCCCGAGAGCGAGCGCCCGCTCCGCCCGCGGCCCCCGCAGGGCCGCCCCGGCGGGGGGCCTGCGGAGCCCGAGGACTCGGCGGGCCCAGGCCAACACGCCCTCTGGGAGGGTCGTCGGTCGGCGGCGAGCACAGGGGGAGGAGGGCGAGGAGGGGGAGGAGGAGGGGGAGGAGGGGGAGGAGGGGGAGGAGGGGGAGGAGGGGGAGGAGGAGGGGGAGGAGGGGGAGGAGGGGGAGGAGGAGGAGGAGGAGGAGGCGGAGGAGGAGGAGGAGGAGGCTTCGTGCTTGGGAGGGTAGGGGAACGAATCATGACATAGACATAACAACTTTGAGTTTCGCGCGGATGTCTCGCATCGGCGCTGGAGCCCCTCGGCCGCGCCTCTGGCGCCGCCCCTGGCGCGCCCCGCGCGCCAGGGAGGGGGGTCCAGCGCCGATCCGAGAAACCAGCGCGGGCCTCCGAGTTTTTATGTTTATGTCGTTGTTTGTTTCCCTAAGGGGGGGGGGCGAGGAGGGGCAGGCCTTCTAAGAAGGCTCGGAGGTTCACCGGCCTTCTGGGAGGTTTTTGTCCAAGCTGTCCCCGAGGGCACAATCAACTTCTCATTTGGCGCGAGGGCTTCTGAGAAGTCTCGCCGCCTTATGCGAAGGCCTGCTCCTTCTCGCTTCCCCCCTCGCTCGCCGCCGACTTGGGTCGGGAGAGTGGGTTGGGGGGGTCGTTCATAGACAAGCGCGGGGTCCACAACTCGCAGGATAACTACTCGCGAACGGTCTGGATCCGCCGCGGGGGCTCTACGATCAAATACATCTAGGCAAACATGTGTTTTTGCTTCGGACGTTTGAGAGTCGGCACCTTGCGAGTAGTGGAACGCGCTCGGTGATTGGGTCGGGAGAGTGGGTTGGAGGGGTGTTGAGGTCAGCAACGGCAGGCACGACTAAACAGCAGGTCAGAAACGGGGGTTGTGAGTGTTCGGGGGGGGGGGGTGAAACAACAACGGCGGTCTGGGGGGGTTGCGGTCAACAACGGCAGTCGGCCGGGGAGGATCTTGGAGCACATCTTCTGAAATACCCGCGCGACTGGTTCCACCATCCCCAGTCGGAACTAGGCCAGAATAACGTCCTGCAAGAACATTAGACCCTCCGCCGGCCAAGACACACAGAACATCCAAGGGTACCCTCCCCCAGGATGCACACGAGCTTCCAACGAGTCCGGCGACGCTTCGAGGTTCGAGGTTCGAGGTTTTCGGACGTTCTCGTTGGGTATCTGCGGTTTGCCAGCCTCGGGGTACTCTCCAGCGCCTGCGCCTCGCCGAAAGCGACCCGGGGGTGCCCGGATCGTTCAAGGCCGCCGGAGGCCTGAGCCATGACCCGGAAACCACCAGGGGGCCAGCTCAGGGGGGGAAGCATCGAGCTGGAATCGGCGATACATGGCCAGTGGATCGGCGAGATGCCCCCGATGACAAATCCGCCGTGTCCTGGCCGGGGTGGGCCTGTCGGGGCCCTCTCGGCAATCCATGGGCGAGAGGGGGTCGCTGGGTCCCCCCCGCTGAACCTATCACCCCCTAACGTTGCCCCTGAGTGGGGGAGGCGGAGGAGGAGGAGGAGGAGGCGGAGGAGGAGGAGAGGAGGAGGAGGAGGAGGAGGAGGAGGAGGAGGAGGAGGAGGAGGGGGAGGAGGAGGAGGAGGAGGAGGAGGAGGAGGAGGAGGAGGGGACGTCGTCGTCGGTGTCAGCGTCAGTGTCAGCGTCAACGTCTCCATCGTCGTGTGCGTCGGTCGTCGGTCGTCGACGGTCGTCGGTCGTCGACGGCCGTCGGTCTTCGGTCGCAGGTCGTCGGTCGTCGGTCTTCGTCGTCGTCGTCGTCGTCGTCGTCGTCGTCGTCGTCATCCGCCGTCGTCGTCGTCGTCGTCGTCCGTCCGTTCGTCCTCCCTCGTCCTCGTCCTCGTCCTCGTCGTCGTCGTCGTTGTCGTCGTTGTCGGTCGTCACCATCGGTCGTCGTCGTTTGCCCGAGCGCAATGGGAGGTTCTACAGTGCCATGGACCCAACTTGTGGGGATGGCTGGGGCTAGTTAGGGACATCCCCCCTGCAAGCGCCAACAGAAGACGACCTTTCGAATTTTCGTTCGTTTGGCCAAGTGGCTGGCCATCGCACAACTCCCAGGAAGTCCCGTGGCCTGGAACGGGCCTTCAGAGGCCCAAAATCAAGGAACATCAACTATCTTGACTCATTGACGACGACGCTATGAAGTCCGAATCCGCTCATGATCTTTCGCTCGGAAACTTCCAGTGAACCACTCCTGCGCGCCATCACGACCGGCTCTGGAGCTGCGCCGAGGTGTGGCAACGAGCACAGCTCAGGAGGCGGGCATTTCGTCTATCTTTTGTGTGTGTGTTGACAGGTGGCAAGGGGGCGTGATGGGGGAGGGGGGTCAGACAGAGCAGAAGGATGAAAAAACAGCATAAACATAAACTTTCTGCGCTCCGCGAAGATTTCTTGGATCTGCGTTGGACCCTTCTCCCTGCCGCGCGGAGCGCGCCGACAGGGGTCCCGACGCAGATCCAAGAAATTCGCGTGGAGCGCCAACAAGTTGCTGTTTATGCCGGTCTTTCTTCTTCGAGCGGAGGGGGAGAGCATGTCGTTTGCACTGACCGTTGCGCTCCGGCGCGCTTGCCGCTCCCCTGTGCGCGACGCTGTCAGATCCGAGCACCGACGGCCGGCGGGCAGCCGCGGTGGCCCCCGGCCCCAGCGTGAGGCTCCCGGCAGCCATGGTGGAGCGGCACCTCGGCGGCCGAGGGAGGGCTTTGGAGCTTCTACGTGATCGTTGGCCGAGGGAGGGCGAGGGAGATGTGATCGTTGGCCGATGTGATCGCTGGACCTCGGCGGCCGAGGGAGGGCTTCAGGAGTCCCGATGTGATCGTTGACGCGCGCGTCAAACCGCACAGGATGCTCACCGTGGGCTTGTCTTCTCTGCGAACACGCCACCTACAGCTCGCCTCTGGGACTCGGTCGCCAGCATTCCCTGGATACAAAGATGGCGTGACCGAAGGCGGCCGCCGACACGAACGTTTCCAGGAAGCTTGAAGGCCCAAGGGGGGAGGGGCAGGGGCTGCGGGAAAAGAAGCGAACAGGATGCTCACCCTGCAGGTGCTCGGCCGATGCTCGCCGTGTGCGCAAAATCGGGTGCCCGTCGCGCTGGTGCTTGGCGGAGGCCGACCGTCCAGGGCCCTCGCCTCTCCAGCGGATGCTCGCTGTGTGGGTAGGATCGCGGGCCCACGGTGTGATGCCAGAGCACCGGCGCGACCCGATGCAATTGACTACCCCTGCGGAGCAGAGGCGAGGGAGCATCACAGCTTGCACGCAGGGGCACTCCGAGGGACAAGCTTGTCTGCATACTAGGCGTTTTTCTTATCCCCCCCCCTTCCTCCAAGGCGGAAGGGGGCATGACGATGGTGGCCTCCCATTCCAAGGAGAAGCCCCTGGTCTGCTGGTCCTGGGGGCACGGGCAAAGCGATGTTGGAGTGGCCAGATGCTCGGAAGACTTTGATAAGATGACCCTCTACAAGACTGCCCTCCTCCTCCTCCTCCTTCTCCTCCTCCCTCCTCCCTCCTCCCTCCAGTCGGCTAATGAAGAAGGACGAGGGGGTCAACTTCGATAGCGGACTGGCCAGGCGGCGACCATGTTCTCGCGGCATCTTGGGGCCGCACTCGCGGCACAGGCTTATGCTGCTGGGGCCGATGGTCACCCCGAGGCTCTCGGCCTGGAAGCAAAAAACGGCGCGCGCGCGAGTGCGGTGGGAAAGGACACAGTGCAATCGCATGTGATGTTTGCATGCCAAGTTGAGGTGTTCGGTTCCAGGTGCAGCGAAAGAGGAGAAGCGTGGTACAGTGGGTTAATCACTGTAATAGAACGTGCAGAACTGTCAGAAGCAAAGATGAGGAAGGGAAGCGAGACTGATCAGGGAGAGAGGGAGGAATAGGGAAATTGCGCGTGCGGGGAAGAAGAGGAGGGCGGAGGGTAGGGCCTTTTGGGATACATACGTGTATGTATGTATGTATGTATGCATGCATACATGCATGCATGCATGTATGTATGTATGTATGTGTATGTGTGTATGTATGTGTATGTGTGTATGTTTGTATGTTTGTATGCTTGTCTGTTTGTACGCTTTTATGTTTGCGTGCATCTATATATATACACAGCTCGGCCCCTGTTATCATACCATTTGCCTTGGCTGCGATGCTTGCCACGTGTTCATTATTCCGTCCTCCCCCTCATATTCATACGTATATTTGTATATCTATATTGCATACATAAACATATGTACAATAGATAGGAAGCGACACATCTCTCTCTCCCTCTATAAATATATATACACATACTAGAACCATCGCGCGCGCTTCGCGCGCGCTCTGGTTCTAGCCCAGGCCGGGGGGGCGCTGGACGATCTTGGACAACGCTATCAAGCACAGGCGCGCGACAGCATCTGAGGAGCTTCTGGGGTGTTCCGCAAGCTTCGTCAACTGGCTGTTGGAGGCACCTCTTGGGTGCTTCTTGGGGGGGTCTGAGGGTCCCTTGGGGGCATCGGTTCTGCAATCTGAAGCCGGCATTGGCCGTCTTGTCTGCGTGGAGGCCCGACTTCAGGCCACCTGTGGCCACATTGAGGCAATCCGGAAACCTCCCGGGGGCCTCCTGGAGGCAGTTTGGACGCATCGAGGGCACTGTTGGGCTATTTTAACGCGTCTTGGACGTCTCCTAGGGGCCTTTTGGGCCCTCGGGAAGCTTTTGGGGTCCTCGTCGGACCACTTGGGAGCCTCTTGTGGCCTCCTGTGGGCCTTTGGGGGGGGAACGCTCTGCTGTTGGGTCGCGTTGCCCTTCTTGGGCCTCTCTTGGGGCTCTTGGGGCCCTCTCGGGCCGTCTTGGGCGCCTCACGCAGCGCCTTGGGGCCCTCGTGGGCCGTCTTGGGGCCCTCTTCCTTTATATTGGAGCGGTATTGGAAGCCTCTTGGGCCGTCTTGGAGCATCGGGATGCCAAAAGGCAGAAACGTTTTAAACCCGTCAAAGCCCAATCGTAAAACAATCAGTTGTGCCTCTTGGGGGGAGATCTCTTGGAACCTCGTCGGCCCTCTTGGGAGCTTCTTGGGGGCCTCTTGGATCCGATTGGGGGCCTCTTGGGACTTCCCGAGAACCTCTCGGGGTAGAAAGCTCGGGTTTTCGGTTCGTGTTTCCCTTTTTGGGCCTCTCTTGGGGCCCTCTCGGGCCCGGGCCGTCTTGGGCGCCTCAGGCACCGCCTTGGGGCCCTCGTGGGCCGCCCAGGGCCCTCTTGGAAGCCTCTTCGGCTATCTTGGAGCTGTCTTGGAGGCCTCTTCCTCCTCCGCCTCGTCCCCCTCCTCCTCCTCCCACTCCAGCTCTCTCTCCTCCTGATCTTCCTCCTCCTGCAGCGTGTTCCGGAAGGGCACAAGTGCTGTCCCTGCTCCCGCCACCGTGCCCTGGGTGGTGGGTCAGAGGCCTCATGGGTGTTGGTTTGGATCTCGAGGTTGGCCTGTCGGGGACGTCGTGAAGGCAGCTTCGCAGCTTCTCGGTAGCCGTTTTGGGACCGTTCTGGGGCCTCCTCGGGGCTGTTTTGTGGCCTCTTTAGGCTTCGTTGGGCCTCCTGGGTGCCTCTTGGGGGCCTCCTGGGGCCTCTTGGGGGCTCCTTGGGGCCTCCTGGGGCACTCTTCAAGCGGGAGGGTCAAATTTTGGAATCGTGGTCCCCCTTTGGGGCGCATCTTGGGGCCTTCTTGGAGCTCTCTTGGACTGTCTTGGACGCCTCTGGGGCCGTCTTGGGGCCCTCTTGGGCCGTTTTGGGGCGCTCTTGGGGGCCTATTGAGCCGTCTTGGAACGTCGGACAGCCGGAAAGGCTGGAAGGCCAAAATTGTTGTATAACCTATCTTGGGCGTCCCGGAGCGGTCTTTCGGCAACTCGGGGCCCGCTTGGGCGGTCTTGGGAGCCTCTGGAGGCCCTCCTGGACTATTTTGGGCCTCCCCGGCCGCCCCGTCCTCCCATGGGGGGTCGGAGGCGGCGGCCTCCGAGGCCCAGGACGCGGAAACCCTATAAAAACACACGGAAAATGGGCCCCGGTACCCCCATGGAGGTTCGGGGCAGCTCTTTTCGGGCACCGGGCCTCCTGGGTGCCTCTTGGGGGTCTCCTGGTGCCTCTTGGGGCCGCTTTGGGGCCTCCCGGGGCCCTGTGGAGGCGGGAGGCTCGAATTTCTGGTTCGCGGTTCCCCTCTTGGGGCCCTCTTGGGGCCGTCTTGGGCCTCTCTTCGCCCGTCTTGGGCGCGTCTTGGGCCGTCTTGGGGCCCTCCAGAGCCGTCTTCAGCCCCTCTTGGAGGCCTCTTGGGCTGTCTTGGAGCGCCTTTGAGCCGTCGTGGAGCGTCGGAAAACTGAAAAGACGGGAAAAGCAAAATGTGTCCAAAACCTTAGTGAAATGACCGATTTTGGCCTCTTGGGGCCCTCTGGGGGGGCCTCTTGGAGGCCTCTTGGAGCGTCTCGGGGGCCTCTTTGGCCGTCTTGGGCTTATCTTGGGCATCTTGGGGCCCTCTTGGGCCTCTTGGAGCCTGCTGGGCCTGTTGTGGAGCGCTCTTGGGGCACTCTTGGGCCGCCTGGGCTGCTCCAGGGAAGCTCCAGCCCCCCCCCGTCCCGCCATGGGGGGTGGATGCACCTGTCCTGGGGCCCCCGGCCTCGCCCCCAGGTATATATATATATATATATATATATATATACATACATACATACAGTGTCTCAAGCGGCCTTCAAGAGAGCGGCGGAAAGGCAAAGCCGACGCACTATGTTGCTGTGGGACTTCGTTTTCAGACAAGATGAAGCGTAGATCCACCCACAACGAAGTCAGAGAGAAACTCGAAGCGCTTCGCGTGTGCATCAGCACACTGTTGAGAAACCTCCCCTGCTTAGAGGGAATCACCTCGCCTTTGAACTCAGGGTGGCAGGCGGGGATAGGGAGGTGAGAAAAAAGGAGCGACTACGGATGCACAGTCTAGGACGGAGCTCTGAGACGTGTTGTCCGAAGGCCTCCTGTTCTGAGGAAAACGCGTACAAACTCACATTCGCACAGTGTCTCAAGCGGCCTTCAAGAGAGCGGCGGAAAGGCAAAGCCGACGCACTATGTTGCTGTGGGACTTCGTTTTCAGACAAGATGAAGCGTAGATCCACCCACAACGAAGTCAGAGAGAAACTCGAAGCGCTTCGCGTGTGCATCAGCACACTGTTGAGAAACCTCCCATACGCATAACGATGTCCAGGGTGGTGGCGGGTAGCTGGTTGGCGCGTTAACGATACTGGCGAAAAGCGTTCTTGAGCAGGTCCGGGAGTTGGCGACCGGCAGCAATCGCGTCCCGGCTCTGGCGGGCTGTCATTTTGTGCAATTGCCGAAGGAGTGTCGCATGCTTCTCATAGCGTCTTACTGACGCAGGGCATTTCCACTTTCCACGGTCCTGAATTTGTTGGATACTGAGGGCCTTGAGGTAGGCGTCGGTGGACGGACCAGTGTGGCGAAAACAGTGCGGCACAATCCTCAGGGCGTTCAGTTCGAGCGCCTCACAGGCCTCTTTGATAGCTTTCTCATAGGACTGCAGCGTGAGATGACGAAAAACTCGCTCGCCGTCGTGAGCAGATCCGTGCAGATAAGCTGCCGCATCCTTCACGAAGGCGCGATCGAGGATGCCGATGATCAGCGCGTCGTCTTGCTCACCGGACTTGGTCTTGCCAGCCCGTGTGCTAGGAGAGAGAACCAGGCCCAGTCGGTGTAGCTCGATCCACGCTGTCGAATCGGCGGCAGCAAATCCTCTCTCTTGATGTCCAGCAGGGCGCCCGGGCGCACATAGGTGTCGACCTGCAGCACCACGGCAAGGGCACGCCAAAAGTAGAAGGCTTGATTCCTGAGCAACAGCCACTGGACAATCAGCCACGCCGCCTCGATCGGGCACGGGTCCCGAATGCGACCAGGCATCTGACGAAGCCAGCCTCTAAGCGCGGCCTTGGCCCTGGGCAGCACGTGTCCCCCGCGACCGAGGTGGGGGAGCCGCAGCAGCGCGTGGCCGTAGAGGGCCCACCTTCCCAGCTGGGGCTGCTCCCTCTGGGCGTACAGCCACTTGAAGTAGTCCGACATCGCAGAGTCTGCCGCCTCGTGCGTGCGGAGGCTGAGCGCCCTGCCAGCCGCCCGCGCCTCGAACTCCCCGACCTCCGCCTTGTAGTTGCTCAGGGTGGCGGGCGAGACGCTGTTCTCGACCAGGTTTCGAGGCTGAGGGGCAGGTCCGTGACGAACTGCAGGGGGCCGAGCGAGACGATGCCGCCGACCGCCGCCTCTCTGCGCGGGAGCGCGCAAGGGCGCGCCACTGCTGGCCCACGTATGCGATGGGCCTGCCTGGGACCCGGTCGAGCTTGCCGCCGACGTGCGGGGCTGATTTCTACTGACTGGTCAAAGCCCCCTCGTTGACGACGTCGGAGACCTGGGTCGTGCGCTTGTTGGAGACTGGCCGAACATGTCTGGCCGCGGCATTCTGATCAACTGGAAAGATATGGTGTCGCCGGGCGTGGGCCCGAACCAACCGAGCTACATTGAAGCAGAACCTCGAGCCGTAGACTCCTGCGGCCCGTGAGGCCTGCGTCCACCGGCAGGCCTGCGTGTCCGCATCCCAGACATGAAACTTGCCCGTCACTACCGTGTGGGTGTGATTTCCGGAACACTTTCTAGATAGCTGCT